GACTTGGAATCAAACCCGAAAAATTCATCAGACAGACGTGGATTAAGAAATTGCACTAGACACCCTGGAATATTATGCAGGCCATAAAAAGAGGAGTTTGTGTCTTTGGGAGGACATGGAAGCAGCTGGAACCCATCCATTCGTACAAACCTATCAGAACAGAAAACCCAACACACTGCAGTCCCCCACCTCAATAGGTGGGAACTGAACATGAGATCACTTGGACGCGGAAAGGGGAAATCACAAGCACCGGGGCCTATTCATGGAGGGGGCAGGGGGGATTGCACTGGGAGTTTAGACCTGAAGTTAATGACCGAGTTGATGGTGCTGACGAGTGATGGGTGCAGCACACCGACATGGCAACCAGTTACTACTGTAACAACCTGCCACGTATGCCCATGACCCTAAACGTAAAGTATAATAATAGCTAAGAAAAAAACAGTCTTTTAAACATAATATTCTAAGCATTTCCCCATGTAGTTTATGGTATATTCAACACACAAACAATATAGGCCCATCCTTTAATTAAACTTATTGTTTCTTGAAATAGGTCTTGAACACAAAATGTAAGTACAACTTGCAATAATAAAGGCTAAGTATGAAATAATCAAAATTTGGTTATTTTGAACCGATCTGGAAGACAAAAGTGCAGTACGGCACAATAACGTTTTCTCCGGAATCATTTAAGAGTATCTTGCTGGATACGATGCCTCATCACTGTCCGTACTTTATGGGTATTTCCATCTCGAAAGAACATTTGCCCACTTATAACTACATAAAACTTCAATCATGAAGTTAACATTATTATATTACTCATCACTACTCGACATTCAATTATTCAGATGTAAAATATGTTTTTTAAAATAACAAAAGATCAACCAGTTGTCGACGTACACATTTCTTTTGTATTTTTAGTTCTTTGATATCAAAGAGGTTTTCCCTGTCTTTTCTGACTTCATGACATCAACATTCCAACATTAATAAGCCAAGTTATTTGGGGCTTTGCTCGATCTGTTTTCACATAATTCTAGTCAGGATTTGGATCTTTGGCAGGAGGAATCACAGAAAGTACCCGTTTGGCTCTTGCTCATTCTGTTAGGTGCCACAGAAGTCAATTTGTTCCCTATTATCAGTGAGTTATCTTTGATAATCCTCTGCCTGAAGGAATGGGCAGAGATCTAGCAGTGACCGAAAGCTACGGTCCAAAGACCCAACGGATTACCGGCCAACATGGGATGCCAAAGAGAGGCAGGGAGCCGGATTCCCCTCTGAACAGAGGTTCCCAGAAAACGGCCCTGGCCCCGTTGACCATGTTAAGGTCAGACTCTCCTAGCCTCCTGAACTGTAAAAGCAAAAGTTTCTGGTTGTTTTAAGACCCAGCCGTTTGTCATTTTTACAGAACCCTAAGGGAAAGAAATACAGAAAGCAAAGACTTTTAGGAAAGAAAGAGGAGCCTGATGAACTTCACTACATACTAAATTTTCTGGTGTTCCATTGTTATTGTTTAACAGCTAATTGAAGGAAATTGCAACACAGATCCACTCAGTTTTCGTAAATGTAGTTCAATGAGTTTGCCAATGTGTGCAGTTACGTAACCACACACAATCACATGATACAGCACCATAATTGTCCCATGGCATATAGAGTTAATTAAAACAGTTAATAATAAAATCATTCCTTATGTTTTAACTAGTTTACCATGTCAATGCTCATAGCCATTATGTGACTAGTGGTTCCAGGATAGGACAGAGCAAGATATGGAATAAACAAAAGTTCTATTGGACGTGCTGAACCAGAAGTATGTTTCATCGAACTCTCAAACATTCCCTACTGGTCCCTTTGCAGTCAACTTCTACCTTTGTCCCCCCCAAAAAAACCCCCTTAGCCTCCAGTCAATCACTGATCCTCATTCTGTACGATATTTGCCTTTCTCTGGAATACACACAACAAACTCATACCTCAAGGTACTCCTTTAGTCTGGCTTACTTATGACAGCCATGATATCCCTGGAGGTTCTCCATGTTTGTCTGTATTAGTAGTCCCGTTTCGGTTTTTTGTTGCGGTAGTGTTCCACTGAAGGATATACCACAATTATTATCTATTCATTGATTTAAAAATTGGTACTATCTTTTAGTTTGGACTTTAGACTAATGCCTGATACCCAAATATTTACTTTCACTTTGAGGTGGGATATGTACATTCATTTTACGATTGTCTATAACAAACCACAAATGTATTAAGTTGTTAATAAGCACCAATTATTTTTTCACATTTCTGCTGGTCGGAATCCGGGCATGACTTAGCTGGGGGCCCCCTGCTATGCTTATAATCAAAGGGTTAGCAAAACTGGGTAACTCATTACTAGGCCAACGAGGGAGAATCTGTTTCCCAGCTTACTCCAGGAGTGCAGTATTTCCTTTTGCAGTTTGAAATAGAAGGCCTGCCCTCTGCTGTCAATAGAATCTTGCCCTTTAGACCCAAAAGAAGCTGACGAAGTTCCTTGCTACCATATATCGTTTCTCTAAATGGCGATTTACTTCATCAATGCCAGCCAAAGGAGTGTCTCTAGCATGAGTCAGGTAGTAAAATAGAGTGGAGGCCTAAGAAATAACGTTAGCAATTCAAGCGGATTGACATCCTGTCACCTATGCTGTGTTCTATTAGTTAGAAGCCAGTCATGGGGTCTGCCTTCACTCAAGGAAAGAGAGTTCTATAAATGCATGAATTCCGGTGGTGAAGTTCATGGAGCAGACACTGTGGCTCCTGTCTGCCGCATGTGTTTTCATTTTTCTTAATACCTATAAGTGCAATTACTGGGTCACATGGCAAATATATGTATAATTTTATAAGAAAGTGCCAAATTGTTTTCCAAGACAGCCATATTATTTTGCATTCTTGTGAGCAAGGTTCTATTGCTTTTAATTTATATTTTTTGTTTGTTTTTGTTGTTTGAGATGGAATCTGACTCTTTCGCTCAGGCTCGAGTACGGTGGTGTGATCTCAGCTCACTGCAACCTCCACGTCCTGGGTTCAAGCCATTCTCCTGCCTCAGTCTCCCAAGTAACTGGGATTACACACGTGCACCACCATGCCCAGCTAATTTTTGTATTTTCAGTAGTGCTGGGGTTTCGCTATGTTGGCCAGGCTGGTCCTGACCTCAGGTGATCTGCCCGCCTTGGCGTCCCAAATTGCTGGGATTACAGGCATGAGCCACTGCGCCTGGCCCTATATGTATTTTTTAAAGCAATAAATACATTTTGCTAACCCAGAGAATCTTCCTCTCTTAAAAGAGTAATTTACTCTGTTTGAGTCCTTATATTTTTTCACAAATAAAAAGATGAAAATCAATTTGGGTAGAGAGGTGGAGGCAAAGCCATGTAGGGCTAAGTTCATGAGAGAACACAGGAGACAGAAATGTTAGTAGCAAGAACAGACAACACTCTGAGGATTTTGCATAAGAAAGCAGAAAAATGGTGCTGTGACGGGGTCACATTTTGTTATGTTCAGTAGACGGGAGATTTTATAACATGTTTGCCCACTGATATGAATAATCCAGTAAAGAGAAGAAGGTGAGGGGCAGATGATCATGCAGGAAGAAGAGTTCATGCATTGCCACAGGAAGAAATGCAATGTATGTACCTTCAAATGCAGATAGCTTAGCAGAGTTTTGTGGTGGAAAGATGTGTGCACACAGCTAGTGCGTGGCTGAGCCAGGATGCAGATGCAGGCCCTCTAACTCCTGAGTCCACACTCCAAACCACTTCACTGTTTTGCCAACTATACATTTCCACAGCTATGCATCTCTTAACTTAAATTGTTAAATAACAGAAACACTGCAATACAACAAATTAATTCTGCCAAAGGCTTTGTTTCCTTTAATAGGAAAAACAGACTTTAAGAACAATAGACTCAATTCTTTTACTTTTCAATCTTCTTTTGGGTGAATTCAATTTTATGAACTGTGAGGGTATTTTTATGTTTTTAAAAAAGCCTCTTGACAATCCTGCCCCTGCAAATTTCTACCCTATTCGTCCTCCTCCATCAAAGACATATTTTTTGCAATTGTATTTAACAGTCATGGCCTCACTTTTCGTTCGCTCATCAGTTCACTGCATTATGGATTTATGGGCTTAGAATCCACCTCTCCTCTTATACTCATCTCTAAAACATTACTGAGATTTTGAAAAGGTCAGCCCTCTTGGGTGCATCCTGTTTAACCTCTCTTCAGTTCTTAACTTTGTTGAAAATATGTTCTTTCTGAAGATACCTTTTTATCTTAGATTATTTCGTAAAACTTATTCTTGCTTCTGTTTCCAATTTCTTCTTGATAAATTAAAGATTTGTATATCACGGGCTTTTCGTACTTAGCCCTAGAGATTTAAAGGTCACATACACACCAAAACTTCTAATTCCACAACTCCAATGTCAGCATTTCCTCTGGTATAGTCACATAGATCACACTGCTTAATCTTTTAGCTGGTTCTCAGAAGACCTCAAAGTTTACATGTGAAAATCTAAATCACTATCTCCCATCTTCAACAACAAAAGGTATACAGCCACAGCCTGTACCCAGACCCTCATGACTGCTAGCATTTGTGCAATAATATCCTGTATTCACTGCTTTAACACTTTTCCTATAAAAACAAAAAATGCAAATTTACTACATTGAAAATTTCATTGACAAATTGAGTGATATAACATTGAGTGACATTAAAGTTATTGTCAAAATGTGGTAGAATTTTACTAATTCTGATTGATTGTATAGAAATGAAATATCCACTCGGTGGGCCATTCATATTTTATATCTAGAATAGAGAAAACCTGGCCATATAAATGTACTTTTCATCATCTCTGGGCCACTGTCTGACTCTGAAATAAGAAAAAGAAAAAAGGACTGTTCAAAATAGAAAACTTGGCAGCCTTGCTTCTATTGCATGATGAAGGTTTTTGTGGGTAGTTAGAGGGCTGTTCATCATCTGTGCATCTCTCTCTCTTTCCAGAAAACGAGTGTGCAAGAAGTATGTTGTAACTGAAGTGGCGTACTGCCTGCCACCCAAGAGGTTGCTCTGTAAGTGGTGAGTTTTGAGGAAATAAGACTTTCATCTATTGTATTTTTCGTGGTGTCACAGCACTAGGAAACATGTAGAAAATGATTTCAAGTAGTAAATGAAAGCTTTCCAGACATTAGGAATTAAAATAGAAACTATTTACATGTATGCCTTTTTATATCTAAAAGAGGGATCCAGAGAGCACCACCTTGGCAGTAAGAAAAATCCGAAGACACAACAGAAAAAGATAAACAGCAAAGAAAAATGCTCCCAAACAAAGAAGTTAAAATATCATCAAACATCAGATAAAATGCAATCCTCAGGAAATAATTATCTTAGGATTCAAAAGAAAACTTGGAAAAGTTGTTGATTGTTACCAATGAAAACAATGAAGCTTCCTATTAAATAGTGGCAGAAATTCTCAAGGCTGATAAAAATGGAAAAGAGCATGAGAAATAAAGTTATGCAAGGGAAATAAAGAAGAATAACAATAAAGAAAAAATAAAGAAGGACAAGGAAAACAAAACCATAATGACAGAATTTTAAAATCTGTATCAGAGACATACACATTAAAATTGACATGGAGAGTAACAGGATGAGATCTGAGGAGATGTTCCAGAATGTAGAAAAGTTCAAAAGATAAAATTTATGATCTGGCTGGACACAGTGGCTCACGCCTGTAATCCCAGCATTTTGGGAGGCCCAGGCAGTGGATCACATGAGGCCACGAGTTCGAGACCAGCCTGGCCAACATGGTGAAACCCCATTTCTACTAAAAATACAAAAATTACCCAGGTGTGGTGGTGCACATCTGTAACCTCAGCTACTCAGGAGACTGAGGCATTAGAATCACTTGAAACCAGGAGGTGGAAGTTGCAGTGAACTCAGATGTTGCCACTGCACTCCAGCCTTAGTGACAGAGTGAGACTCTGTCTAAAAAAAAAGAGAGGTAAAACATAAGATATGAGAAAAACAGAAAATGAAAATTCAACTTAAGCATTATAGACTGGTTTAAAGAAGACTTTTTGAGCAACAGGAAAAGAACAATAAAAGATAATTCAAATACATTTTTCTGAAGCAAAAATATATCAAAAATATTCAGAACATTCGAGACAATCTCATCAAAAGCATCCTGGCCCATCTTATACAAAACGTTAAATTCTAAGGTTAAATAAAATCAGAAGTATCCATCAAACACATATCTTTTCCCCAAATACATATCTTAAGTCAATGGAGATGCATGTAAATACATCTTAATGTGTGTATTTTAAAATTTGTATCTTAAGAATTTTTTGTGTACTAAGTTGTCTTTTATAAGTAAAGAAAACAGATACCTTTGATATGTAGAGACTGTGAAAGTATACCACCTACATGCTATTTTTAAAAGATTTTTTAAGACTTGCCTTCAAAACATGGTTCCAGTCATGTAACACAAAAATAGCTTAAAAAGTGGATATGTCAATTTAAAAAATATTTTGTATTGAGACTATTGCTGGAAAAGGTAACAGCAAAATCATCTAGCTAGCTAGCTGGATGGATAATAAAAAAAGAACAATAAGCAGACAGTAATAGGAAAGTCTGAAAAGTATAAAGCATGAGCAAAACAACAGAAGAGACATTAGATATAATTTTTGTAGCCCTTTTTCTCTACCCCTTTACTGCCCTTAAAAGGTCTGTATAAGAAACCCAGAGAGCTTGTGGTGCTCCTGTCAATAGTCTCTCTCTTTTCCAAATACTACCAGATCCCCATTGCAAACTTGCTGAAATATCAACCCTGTAAGTTTATAATTTGTATTTATATTCACATTCCCTATAGAAACTACCAAGACTAACAATAATCACTCCTTATATTCCTATTCTCCTTAGCCACCACATGCAACACAAGCTTTCCAGGTTATCCCCGTGTTAGAAAAGGCATACCTGTGAAGGCAAAATGTTGACCTCATAAGCTCCAAGGAGATTCAATCCTGCCATTGCCATTGTATCTAGTGGTTCTTGACCTTATTAGGCCCAATGTCCTGCTCATATAACAAATATTTTGTAGTGCTTTACTTTCCTAAAATAAAACTTATGGACAATATAATGAATATGCATGCATAATTTTTAAAATTGTAAAGAATAATAAAATAGAAAAATATAGAAGCAATTATTTATTACAAAATGATACGTGTGTGTTAGTGTTCAGCCATGACAACACAAGAAGAGAAAACAAAGCAGTTAGATTCTTATGATATACAAAATTAACAGAATATGGTGGCTATGAAGGCAAAGTGAGAGAGAAAACATTTCATTAGTGTCTCAAATATGGATCGGTGGTGTGGTTTGTAATGTGTTTTTCCAACACATTGAATAACATCTAATAAATTTTCAAACAAAATACAAAAAATCTTCCTTCAAGTTGGAAAGAGTTCCTATTCCTAGAAAATTTACTATTAATTAAAGTCATGTAGAAAATCTTTGTGTTATATGTTAAACAAAGATACATTGTAAGTGGCCAAGATTCCGAGAAGGTTTTTCATATATATTAAAGCTCAGTGGGATGTTTTAAGGTTGTGTATAGGTGTTAGTGGAAACTTTTTAATCTATTTGTTTATTTTAAGTACTATGATGTGCTATTCATTATTTAGCACCTTTAGCATTCTCCCATTAAGTGGTGCTTCCCTAATCATTGTGACAACCAAAACCCACAAATTTCCACAATACCCCCCAGGAGCAAAGTACTGTTTTGCTGAGAAACTTTCATTTAGTTAGCTTGAGAAGTGTATTAAAACCAGGGAGGGGAGAGGAGGTGGAGCCAAATGGTTAAATAGATGCTTTCACTGATTGTCTGCCCCCTTAGAAACACCAAATTGAGCAACCACACACAAAAACACTTTCATGAGAATGAAACATTGGGTGAGCGATCACAGTACTTGATTTTCACTTCATATCACTGAAAGCTGCACTGAAGTGAGTGGGAAACACAGTCATGAATTGCTGACGCCATACCTCCCCGCCACCAGCAGAGGCTGTGTGGTCTGGAGAGAGAATCTGCACTTTGGGGAGGGAGACCACAGTGATCATGGGACCTTGCACTGGAACTCAGTGCTGCTGCTCTGTCATAACAGCAAGAAACACTGGGCAGAACTCAGATGGTGGCCAGGAGGGAACATTCAGACCATCCCTACCCAGATGGGAATTGCCCATTCCAGCATTCAGAACCTAAGTTCCAGGAAGCCTCAGCACCACAGATCAAACAGCTCTGGAGTTCCAAATAAACTTAAAAGGTAGTATAAGCCATAAGGACTACAATTCCTGGGCAAGTCCTGGTGCTGTGCTAATCTCAGAGCCAGTGGACTTGGAAGAACATACGACCTAATGAGACACCAGCTGTGACAGTCACCCTTTCCCCAGTCACAGGTAGCACAGCCATAGCACTGGGAGACACTTCTTCACTCCACTTGAGAAAAGGAGAGAGGAGCATAAAGAGGACTTTGTCTTGCAAGTGGGATACCAGCTCAGCCATAGTAGAATAGGGTACCAGACAGAGTCCAGAGGTCCAACTCCTTTACATTTCTAGATACACCATGGGCCAGAAGGGCACCTGCTGTCTTGAAAGGAAGGACCTAGTTTTGGCAGGATTCATTATCTGTTGACTAATGAATCTTTGGGTCCTTAATAATCAGTGTGGGTACCTAGGCAGTTCTTGCTGTGGGTCTTGGGTGAGACTCATAAACAAACTGGTTTCAAGTGTGATGAAGCACATTCCCGACTGTGATGGCTATAAGGATGGACTCCTTTTGCTTGAGAAAAGGAGAGGGAAGCATAAAGTTGACTTTATTTTGCAGCTTAGGTACCAGTTCAGACACAGTCGGGTAGAGCACAAAGTAGTTTCTTGGGGTCATGAATTCAAGGTCGTGGTTCTTAGATGGCATTGCTGGACCTGCCCTGGGCCAGAGGGAAGTCCATTTCCCTGAAGTAAGAATCCCAAGCCTGGCAGCATTCACCAGAATCTAACTAAAGAGCCGGTGGACCTTGAATGAGCATCAGCAGCATCCAGTCAGTATTTGCTATGGGGTGAGGTAGGGGTGGTCATAAGGGAAGACGCCTCTGCTTGTGGAAAGGGGAGGAAGGTAACAGTGGGAAGCACCTTTGCCTTGCCACTTGCGTGCCAGCTAGGCCACAGTAGAATAGAGCACAAAGTAGATGCCTAAGTTTTCTTCTTTCAAACCCTGGCTCCTGGACTGCATCTCTGGATGAACCTGGGATTGAAGGGAACTTGAAGCCTGAAGGGAAGGACGCAAAGGCTGGCTGGCTTCACCACCTGCTGATTATAGAGCCCCAGGGCCTTGAGTGAACATAGATGGTAGCCAGGTAGTGGTTACAACAGGGCATAGGGGACATGCAGTGCTGTGCTGGCTGCAGGTTTGACACAGTGCAGTCATAGTGGTAGTGGTCACAAGGGATCTTGTGTCACCCCTTCCCCACCTTCAGGCAGCTCAACACAGGGAAAGAGACTCCATTTCGGGGAGAAAGTAAGGGAAGAGAACAAGAGTCTCTGACTGGTAATCCAGATAATTCTTCCATATCTTATCTAAGACCACCATAGCAGTACTTCTGAGTCTGCAAGAGCCACAGTGTAACTGGACTTGGGGTGCCCCCTAGTGCGGATATGGCTGCAGTGACCAAAATCTTAGATCACAACACCCAAGTCCCTTCAATTACGGGGAAATCCTTCCCAATAAGGTTGTGTACAAACAAGCCGAGAGTGGAAAGACTACAATAAATACCTAACTTCTCAAGGCCCAGGCACCAATGAACATTTGCTAACATCAAGACCATCAAGGAAAACAAGACCTGACAAAAAAAAACCTAAATAAAACACCAGTGACTAGTCCAGGAAAGACAGAGATATGTGACTGTTCAGAAAAAAAAATTCAAAATAGCTATTTTGAGGAAACTCAAAAAAATTCAAGATAACACAGTTAGAAAGAAATCAGAATCCTATTGGAAAAGTTTAACAAGAGATTGAAATAATTGAAAAAAAT